GTAGTAGTAGTAGTAGCAGTAGTAGTAGTCGTAGTAGTAGTAGTAGTAGTAGTAGTAGTAGTAGTAGTAGTAGTAGTAATAGTAGTACTAGTAATAGTAGTCGTAGTAGTCGTAGTAGTCGTAGTCGTAGTAGTAGTAGTAGTAGTAGTAGTACTAACAGTCGTAGTAATGGTAGTAGTAGTAGTAGTCGTAGTAGTAGTAGTAGTAGTAGTAGTAGTAGTAATAGTAGTAGTAGTAGTACGAGTACGAGTACGTATGTACGTACAACATACGTGGTACACAGCACGCAGTACGTAGTACGTGGTAGTACCTGGTTGCACGTAGTAGTACGTGGTCGGAGTAATCGCAATAGTCGTAATCGTAATATTAAGAGTCACACTACAAGTACGTAGTAGTAGTAGTAGTAGTAGTCGTACTAGTACTAGCAGTAGAAGTAGTAGTGGTATTAATAATGCTGGCACTAGCAGCAGTAGTAGCTGTAGTAGTAGTTGTCGTAGCCGTAGTTCCAGTAGTAGTAGTAGCCGTAAAGGTAGTGGAAATAGTGCTTCTAGTAGTATGCGGAGGCGTGAAAACAATAGGGTTCGCAGTTAAAATGAATAATCGTCGTGGTAGTAGTATGAGTAGTAATAGTAGGAATACTAGCCGTAGTGGTAGTTGCTAGTAATAGCAGTAGTAGTAATAGTGGTGGTGGTGGTGGTACTAACCCTAGTAATGGTCGTCGTCGTCGTAGTAGTAGAAATTGTTGTTGCTGCTGCCGTACCCAGAGTAGTCGTAGCAGTAGTAGCAGCAATCGTAGAAGTATAACTCGCATTCGTGCTAGAATTACCACTAACGCGCGCACTGATATGAGTATTCGGACCAGTAGTAGTGGTGGTAGTAGTCGTATGAATAGTCGTAGTGGTAGTAGTAGTAGTAGTAGTAGTAGTAGTAGTAGTAGTAATAGTAGTAGTAGTAGTAGTAGTAGTAGTAGTGCAGTAAATAGTAGTAGTAGTAGTAGTAAGTAGTAGTAGTAGTAGTAACATTATATGATATTGTAGAAGTGATAGGTAGTAGTAGTATTATTAGTAGTAGTAGTCGTAGTAGAGTAGTAAGTTCATTCATCGTCCGTCAGCAATAGTATTAATCGTAGTGGTAGTCGTCCTAGTAATGTAACAGTCGTAGTAAAAAGTAGTAACTATTGTAGTCTCGTAGTATAGTAGTCGCAGTAGTAGTAGTAGTAGTAGTAGAGTAGTATGTAATAATTAGTAGTAGTAGTAAATAGTCGTACCCTTTAATACAAAATACTCAACTAATGATGGTAAGTTTGTGGTAGCCGCAGCAATAGTCGTAGTAGTCGAGTAGTAGTAAGCAGTAGTAGTAGTCGTAGTAAGTAGTACCGTGGCAGCCGCAGTAGTAGTAGTAGTAGTAGTAGTAGTAGTAGTAATAGTAGTAGTTCGTAGTCGTAGTCGTAGTCGTAGTCGTAGTCGCAGTAGTAGTAGTAGTAGTAGTAGTAGTAGTAGTAGTAGTAGTACTAGTAGTAGTAGTAGTAGTAGTAGTAGTAGTAGTAGTAGTAGTAGTAGTAGTAGTAGTAGTGGTAGTAGTAGTAGTAGTAGTAGTAGTAGTAGTAGTAGTAGTAGTAGTGGTAGTAGTCGTACTAGTAGTAGTGGTAGTAGTCGTAGGAGTACTAATAATAGCAGTAGTAGCAGCAGTAGTAGGAATACAGGATTGCTGATGGTTCTCTGAGGAATTCTGGGGGTCGTCCTGGAACTCCAAGGGCTCGCTCGGCGCTGGGCGCTCCGGCTGGCCGCTCCACGGAACTTTACGGATTCCTACGCTTTCTTTAAAGATTTCAGGAGCCCCACAACGGCTGCGTCCTCATCCTCATCCTCCTGCTGCTCCTCCCCCCTTTCCTGCTACACTCCTCCTCCCCTGCGTCCGTTGCGTTTCGTTGCGTTGCATTGCGCATGGAGGGGGGCAGGGTCCGTTGCGTTGCGTTGCGCCAGGGCGGGGGGGGGGCGCCAGCGAATGGTTGTGTCAACAACAACAACAACTACTACTACAACAACACCACCACCACCAACAACAACAACAACCACAAAACCCACACCAACAGCATCAGCAGCAGCCGCACCAACAATTACAACCATCACAGCAACAACGCCAACAACACCAACAGCAACATCAACAACATCACCAACAACCAACACCGACACCATCAACATCAACACAACCACCAACAACAATCATGTTAATACTGATCGCTCTTACCTGCCCGCGTGTCATGCAACACGTATACTACACACCCTCGATGCCCGCCCTCGTCATCTTCGATCGTACCCGCTCGGGGGTACTTTCTTACCTGCAGCGTGTATTTCGCGCATCCCCTGAAGCAGGGAAAGGGAGGACGGACCGAAGGAAGGAACAAGGGGGAGGGAGAAGGATGAAGCACGATAAGAGGAAGTAGCAGGAGAGGGGGCTAGGAGCAAAACACACGTGGCAGAACCAGGCAGGCAGATCGGGCAACAACAATACCACTAAAAACAACAACAACAACAACAACAACAACACCAACAACAACAACAACAACATCAACAACAACAACAGCAACAACATCAACAGCACCACCAGCAACATCAACATTAACGATACCAATCATCAGTTTAAGACTATTCGCTCTTACCTGCTCGCGTGCAAACCAACACGTATATCTCAAATCCTCGGTACCAGCCCTCTTCGTCTTCGATCGTCCCCCATTGGGGGTCTACATCCCATGCCTGCCATGTGCATCTTGCGCGGCCCTAAGGAAGGGGAAGAGAGGGATGGACGGGGGAGGGAGAAGGATGGAGCACGAGAGAACTTAGCAGGAGGGGGGCTAGGAGCAGAAACCACGTGCCAGAACCAGGCGGGCAGATCGGGCGGGCAGACCCTAGCTGGACGGGGCGGGGGAGGCGGATCCAAGCGGCCAGGTCGAGAAGGCGGGTTACTGAAGCGTGAGTTCTGCATGAATCGCGAGGAAGTCTCATGCGATAGCGCGATTCCCAAGTAAATCGTGAGAAAAGCCACACCGAGAGCGTGATTCCTGAGTGTCGAGGACGCTGCGTTTGAAGTCCCAAGCGAGAACGCGATTTGGGTATACTTTGTGAGGAAATATAATGCGGGAGCCGTTGTTGATGAAGCCGGGGATGCAACACCAGACGTTGAACAGGAATACGTTGCCAGAAAAAAAAAAACAAGGTGCGAGCCCAGACGGAGGCACTTCAATTGAGAAAACACAGTGTGCACCAAAGGGGGTTCAACAAGAACTATTCTTCAACAGTGAAAACTCATTCCGCACCGCGGAACCCCACTTCAGCCACGCACGCAGGGACAGTGACTGACCGTTCGACCCCCTCACTCTCACATGCTGTGCCAAATATGGAAGTGTGTCGGTGTATATACACACACGCTCATATGCTGCACATACCCATAGTCTGTACATAGAGAGAGAGAGAGAGAGAGAGAGAGAGAGACGAGACAAAGAGAGAGAGAGAGAGATATCTGCCCGCTGCCAGCCCATCCCACTCTCGCCGCCAATGCATAATACAAACGCACAAAAGAAAGTGGGTGCTACGCACGGCTTGGTGTGGCTTGGTGGTGAGAGCGAGGGCCGATCTTGACCCTCTACGTGTCACGGGGTACTTTCACGAAAGAGGGGGCGAGGGGAGTGAGAAATACCACAATCCTGGAGGTCGAATGCCCACGAGGTCCTCGCAGGTTGCAGGAGTCTCCAGAACAGGCCGAAGACACTCGAAAGACTTACTCCTCGACAGCCCCCCCCCCCTCCAGCCCTCGAGGTGGGAGCCCGCGAACCAAATGCCGAGCGCGTGTGCCCGCGCGGGGGGCTCGGCCCCACGGATTTCCACCGGGCCCCACCCCTTCTGCCCCTCCGCCTGCTAATCGCTCCTGCCCCTTTCTCCTGCCACTGCGCCTGCGCCTGCAAATCTTCCTGCTCATCGGCTTGCCCCTCCCGCTCCTCCTGCTCCTCCTCCTCCTCCTCCTTCTCTTCCTCTGCAGCCGCGACCCCGACACCTGCCGCTCCTCCTCCGCATCCTTTTCCGTCCTCCCACCCATCCTCAATCTCCTCCCACTGGGGCTGCCCCCCCTCCAACCTGTTGATCCCCAGGGGCTGCGATGCAGTGCAGGAGCCAAGGGGGAAAGAGACCAGAAGAGGCGTCGAGGGTAATCGCAATAATCAGCGCCTGCAGCAGTGACTGAGCGAAGCAGCTTCGGGCCGGGGCGGGAAATCGGAATCCCCAGGCAAGACCACATGGCGGCGGCCACTGCGAGGATGGCCATCAAGATCGACTCCTCGCAGGAAAGCGTCTGTGCTGCGCGCGTGCTGAAGTAAGAGACGGAGGGCGAGTGGGATAAGGGCACCCAGCACTGAGCGTGGCTTCTGATCGAATCCTGGGCATCGAGCAGAGGGGCGAAACAATGTGACTGCCTCGCTGGATCTTGGGAAGGGCCCCAAGCGGGATGCGGCCATCTGGGATCACGGCTTCCACGCTCACTGGAGCACAAAATTCCCCGGGAACCACCCGCCCTCCCCCCCAAAAAACACCCGAGACCTGAGCCTCCGCCCCCTCCGGCCAACCGGGGGGAAGGATCCTCGCCACCACTTTGCGGCGCGCACTGCTAGGGCGGGGCGGAGGGTGGCGGCCGTCTAGACATGAATTCGAGCGACGAAAAGACACGGGTCTTGCGCGAGAGGACGTGGCGACCTTGCGCCGCGGCTCTTGCGCGGGCCGCCGGCGCGGCAAGCCACATCTGCAGACGAGGGCGCTCAATTACGCACGACCTTGCGCGAGCAGCTTGCGCGCGAAGGTCGGCGCAGACGACCCCCCGTTTTTCAGTCGGCGCGCATGCAAGGCCTCTTGGTTGCCCTGCCGCCTCCCAGGGAGGCCTTCTTGTAGCGGCCCCCGCGCCCCTTTCCCAGGGCGGGGCGTGCACCGCTCTCTGCGTCGGCCGCGCCTCGTCCTCGCTGGTGCCGCCCCTTCTTCTGGGGAGACTCCAGAAGACGCACGCGCCCGACCACGTACATGAACACGGCCCCCCAGTCCTCGAGACCAGTCTCGTGTTACGAACTTTCCCGCAGTGCGCGCTCTCGAAACCAGCGTAGGTCCATGCACGTGTACGTCCTTCTCATCGCTTCTGATTTTTCTGCGCCCAGGCCTCCGGTTGCACTCTGAGGCTGTGGCGCGCTGAGGCGGTCCTTCTTCCGGTCGGGAGTTTTTGCTCAGCGTATCGCTGCGGTGGTCCCGGCGACACGCCACCCCTTGCAAGTGGATAGCGTGTCGCTCCGCTCCGCGGGGCGGGAGGTCGGGAAATGTTCGGGACCTTGACGCTCGGAGACCGCGACGTGGATAGCGCATCGCGCCGAAGCGCGGCGGGCCAGAACCGGCGGCGGCCCCCGGCGGCCCCCTCCCCCACACCCCCGACGCCATGATTTTTCCATGACGTCGACCCCCAGAGGTCTCGACCCATTCCCCCAGACCAGTCTTTCATCCCGGGCAGGCTTTTGACGGCCCCGAGGCCCGGGCAAGGGCCCACCCCCGGGGGCCGAGAAGATAGCGACTGACCTCCCGTCGTGCTGGTCTTAGGTCGGGCATGTCCCCCTACAGGCGGATCCTGGGCGAACAATTAAGACTTTGCAGAACAAATCAAACAAATATCCCAACACTCGCCCCTAGATTTTTGTAACATGTATGTATGTATACCTATATTCTTATGTAGCGTATATATAGAACATATTATATAAAACATAGTAGTAGTAGTAGTAGTAGTAGTAGTAGTAGTAGTAGTAGTAGTAGTAGTAGTCGTAGTAGTAGTCGTAGTAGTAGTCGTAGTAGTAGTAGTAGTAGTAGTAGTAGTAGTAGTAGAAGTAGAAGTAGTAGCAGTATTAGTAGTAGTCGTCGTAGTAGTAGTAGTAGTAGTAGCAGTAGTAGTAGTAGTAGTAGTAGTAGTAGGAGTAGTATCAGTATCAGTATTATTAGTAGTGACAGTAGTACCAGTAGTAGTAGTAGTAGTAGTAGTAGTAGTAGTAGTAGTAGTAGTAGTAGTAATAGTAGTAGTAATAGTAGTAGTAGTAGTAGTAGTAGTAGTAGTGGTAGTGGTAGTGGTAGTGGTAGTAGGAGTAATATGGTTATTATTATTATTATTATTCGGTTTTGAATTCCTCCTGTAGAGGAACAGCCCCGACTTCCTGCTGGTCTCATGGCCCGAGGCTGTCTGGGCCCTGGGCCTGCCGCCCCACGCCCGCGCGCCGGCCGGACCAGGCCTGCCCTGGCCTCAGGCCGGGCCTGCCCCCGTAGAGGCCGACTTTTCGAAGAGAAGTTCAAAATCGGAGGGGAGGGGAGGGGGTGAGATCGAAGTGGAACGGAGAGCCCCCCTACCGGGAAATCGATTTCGGTTTCGTGTTCGTGCGTGCCGTGCGTGCGGGCGAGGCGAAGCTGCGTGGGCGGGCGAGAGAAAGTCTCCTGTGGCTGAGGCGCGGCCGGACCAAATGATTCCCTTCTGGGCGGCCGGTGGCCCGCGGTGTCCCGCCGGTGTCCCGCGAAAGTCCCGCGGTGTCCAGCGGTGCCCCGCGGTGTCCCGCCGGTGTCCCGCGGTGTCCCGCGATGGTGATGATGATGATGATGATGATGATGATGATGATGATGATGATGTTGATGATGATGAGATGATGATGATGATGATGATGGTGATGCTGATGATGATGATGCTGCCTGCTGATGATGATGACGTCGATGATGATGATGGTGATGCTGCTGATGATGATGAGGACGATGATGATGATGATGATGATGATGATGATGATATGATGATGGTGTCCCAATGAGGATGATGATGATGATGATGATGATGTCGATGATGATGATGATGATGATGACGATGATGATGATGCTGATGGTGTCCCGAGGATGAGGATGATAATGATCATGATGATTATGTTGATGATCATGATGATGACGATGATGGTGTCCCGATGGTGATGAGTATGATGATGTTGATGTTGATGATGCTGATTATGACTGTGTCCCGATGATGATGATGTTGATGATGATCAGGTTGATGATGATTGTGGCGTCCCGATGATGATGATTATTATGATGGTGATTGTGATGACGTTGATGATGATGGCGTCCCGATGGTGATGATGATGATGATGATGTTGATGCTGATGCTGTTAATGATGATGATGGTGCCCCGATGATGACGATGATGCTGATGCTGATGATGATGTTGATGATGCTGATAATGATGATGATGATGATGTCGATTCTGAGGATGAGATGATGATGATAGTGTTCCGATGATGATGATGATGATGATGGTGATGCTAACGATGGTGATCATGATGGTGTCCCGATGATGATGCTGCTGATGATGATGACGATGACTGTGTCCCGATGCTGCTGATGATGATGATTGTGATGATGGTAATGATGATGATGATGATGATGGTGGTGTCCCGATGATGTTGATGACCGTGATGATGATGTTGGTGTTGATGATGAGGACGGTGTCCCGATTATGCTGATGTTGGTGATGATGATGTTGATGTTGATGTTGTTGTTGTTGATGATGAAGATGACGTTGATTGTGAGAGCGGTTGTGATATCGATAGTGAAATCGATAGTGAGACCGAATGTGATATCGATTGTGAGATCGATTGTCAAATCAAGTGTGAGATAGATCGAGTGAGATCGATTGTGAGATCGATCGAGGGAGATCGATCGAGCGAGACCGATACTGAGATCGATAGTGAGATCGATAGTGAGACCGATCGAGTGAGACGTTGGTTCCCCCCCCCCGAACCTCCTTATCACCCGAAGGGTGGTCGTATAGGTAGTCCAGCAGTATTCAAAAATCCTCAACAAATTCAAAAACAAATCGTCCCCTGACTATTCTTTTGAATGCCATGTTTGAGTATTCCTCCTGTAGAGGGACAGGCCCGACTTAGCCCTGGCCTTGGGCGTCGCTCATCATAGGAGGGGGGCGATGCATGGGGGGGGAGACGAAGTGGGGTGCACTTCTCGGGCCCTAAGGGGCCCCCTTCTGGGCCCTCAAGGGCCCCCAGAAGGGCCCTCGAGGCAGGAGAGCCCAGAGTCGAATCGCTGAGTCGGATCGGTGATCGGCATGCATCGGATCGGCGGAAAGCGGCAGCCGACTCGGGAAACGTCGAATCGGGGGAGAAATCCGCGGGCTACTAAGCCTCCAGTGAAAAATCGGAACCTACATCGGAATCCAAAGTCGAATCGAATCGGAATCGGATGCCATCGAAATCGAATCGGATCGAATCGGAGGAATCGGGTCGGAGGAGTCGAAACAAGCCCTGTCAAGGGCCCCTTTCCTGCAGCCCCCGCCGCCCTCCCCCCCCTGATCGATCTCCCCTCACCCCACCCTTGCGCGACGCCCCGTGGCCTAGCCACCTCCCCACCTCTGGCGTTCAGTCGGGCGTGTCCCCCTACGGGCGGATTTGGGAGGAAAAATAAAAGATACCAGACAAAACCTCAACAATAGGCAACACATGCTCAACGCATCCTCCCCCAGACGAGTTCTGGAATACCTGTGAATCTTCCTCCTGTAGAGGGACAGACCCGACTTACCTCTGGCACGGCGCCCCCCCGCGTGGCCCGCGGGCCGCTCCTCCCGGGACGGCGGCGGCCTCGGGGGCGGCCGCATCGTCGCGCGCGCTCCCGCCGTGCTCCGCTCGTGGCCCGAGGCTGTGTGGGCCCGTCGGCCTCCGCCCGCGCGCGTCGCTGGGCACGCCTGCCCTGGCCTGGCCACCTCCCCTCGTCCTCCTCGTCCTCCTCCTCCCCCCTCCTCCCTCCTCCTCCCCCTCCTCCTCCCCCCCCTCCCCCTCCTCCTCCTCCTCCTCCTCCTCCTCCTCCTCCTCCTCCTCCTCGTCCCTCTCCTCCTCCCCCTCCCTCCTCCTGAATGGAAGTAGCGTTCGTCCAAACACCGTTGAGAAGCAGCGGAACGGAGGACCACATACTGCTTGCAATACCAGTGCTGCTGTCTACGACGTGCAGCTCACTTGTCGTACTTGAAGTTGCCAAGTCCGCTACTCGCACAATCATCCCACCCACCCACCCGCGCCTTGGTTTGCAAAACCCATGCGGAAGGATTGCGATGAGTGCTGGGTGTTGGCTGGTGCATCTCTGCAGCCGCGCTAGCCCGCGCATGCTCGCGCGAGCAGCGGCCAACTAATTTGGCGCGACCGACGCGAACGCGGTGGCGCTGACCGCTCGGCACATTCCACTGGGCACTTCAGTGCGAGTCGGCGACTTGGGCGGGCGCCGTATCATGGCAACGTCGACAACGGTAGAAATGATGATGATCGCAGCGATGCTGGTGACGATGCTGGCCGCGACGACGGGGCAGCCAGTGACGGCGGCGATGCTGATCACGCCGACGGCGATGACGGCGTCTTCGCGTCAATGATGAAGGTTGTGGAAGGAGTTCGAAATGCGCGCGGCAGACGCGCGAGAGTGGCCCGCATGGTATCTATTTGGCACGGATCGTGCCACCCCAGCACGCGCGCAAGGGCGTCCGAACGATTTCGACATGCGCGCGCGGAGCCCGTTTGGTTGCATGTTCGGAAAATTTTGAAACACTCATGTATTCTTTGAAGAAGTCGCAAGAGCGCGCAAGTTGTTTGGGAAAATCAGTGTTGCGAAACACTATAGCTTGATGACTTTTTTGGACAGCCGATTTTGAAATCCTTCCGATACCAAGGGTTTTTGAAGGATTTCGGCATGCGCGCGCGACGACGTGCGCGTGTGCACTTCGTTATATGTTGTGCAAGGGATTATTGAGAACTTCTGATGTGTTATAGACGAGTGTGCGCGCGTAGAATGTGTTGCAGAGGATGGGGGGGCGATATCAGCCCCCCTGAGATAGTGTAAATCGGATGGACGACGGGGCATAATCATATGTAAGTTGCGATACGAAAGGCGAGTCTTGAACCCTGGGGGGGAGGGTGGTAGAACCTACGTTTTTTTTGCCAAAGGAAAATTAAAGCCCCATCGATGCCATTGAACACTCTTTGGGGCATGCCATGGGCTGCCTATGCAGAGCCACGCGCTGCGGGATGCATCGAGCATGCACGGGCGTTTCCACGAGATGTGCGCGGCGCCCCTCAGCCCTCCGGCGCGGCGCCAACCCGCGTGGCCCGCGGGGGTCGCTCCTGCCAGGACGGCGGCGGCTGCCTCTTGGGCGGGGCTGCACTTGCTGCGCGCAGGAGTGGCCCCGGGCAGGGAGCCGACCCCGGGCAAGGAGTGACCCTTGGGGTCCCTCGCCGAAGGCGGCGGTGTCACTGGCGCGCGGGTGCGATCGGATCGACCATTGTGGCCGCCCCAGGGGCCCCGCTCGCGGGTGCCAGTCCCTCCTGGGAGCTCCTGCAGCCGTGGCAGGAGGGAGGCAAGGAGTGGCCTGCGCGGTTTTTTGGGAAGCGTGGGGTGGGGTTGGAAACCCGAGCGCGCGCTGCTTTTCGGCGGGGCTGCACTGACTACACGCAGAAGCGGCCCCAGGCAAGGAGTAGACCCAGGCAAGATGTGGCCTCTGGTGCGCGGCTTTGGGGCGGCGTGGGGGCGGTGGGTGGCAACCCGACGCGCAGGCCGCTGCTCCAGCGCAGCCAGTTCAGCGGTCGGGGACACCGGCGGGCCCGCGCCAAAGGCCCAAGGGCCCGCGCAAAAGCTCACCAGGTGCCGTCGACCGCAGAGGGGGGGGGAGCACGATTGAAGGGGCCCTGGGACACAAAAAGAAATACACACAAATAACAGGATTCCCAGCATGTTCCAATATCTTCTGGGTTTTTGTCTCCCCCCCTTCCCATATTCTCCCATATGTTCTGGGAATCGACGATCAATTGTGTCTGTGTGTTTCTTTCCCTCCTGAACGATGCGATGCGGGCGGGGAAGCGCGCGCACACGGGGAGGAACCAGCGCACGGGGAGGAGCGGACACCGCCGACCGCCGGCCGCACAGGGGGGCGTGAGCACGGCGCCTCCCAAACGCGAGGCGTCGCCAACGCCGCCGCCCCCGCCGCCCCCCCCAAGACCCCCGACGTCGTGACTTTTTCAAATCGTCGACCCCCCGAGGTCTCGATCATTCGCCATCTATTTAGAAATGGTTGGGTACGTCACCGGGTAATTGACGGCCCCGAGGCCCTGTGAGGACCCTCAGAGGCCGAAAATTTAGAGAAACCTCCCGCCGCTATTTTTTCCATGATCCGAGGGGGTCTAGGCTTCCCTCTCAGACACCATTTCTGTCGCGCACCATGCTCGATCCGATCCGTGGCGGAATGACCGCGGTGAGCGGGTCTCGGGCGGGGTGGCGGGGGGCGGGGCCGGAGGAGCAGGAGGAGCAGGAAAGGGAGGGAGGGGGACGCAGGGAGGGGGAGGAGGAGGAGGAGGAGGAGGAGGAGGAGAGGAGGAGGAGGAGGAGGAGGAAGGAGGAGAGGGGAGGAAAGGGAGTAGGAGGAGGAGGAGGAGGAGGAGGAGGAGGAGGAGGAGGAGAAGAAGGATAATGAAGGAGGAGGAGGAGGAGGAGGAGGAGGAGGAGGAGGAGGAGGAGGAGGGGGAGGACCGTCTCTACACCTTTGCTGCCACTGGGGTGCTTTGCTTGGGTAATTGCGCAACGCAAGCAAGTCTGGGCCGCGATCCTCAGACTCCGGGAGGCGAAATCCGCACCGATCCGGCCGCGGGCGCGGCCGCGCTGAGGCAGCGGCAGCTCCGCCAGCCTCGCGGTGGCCTCCGGCGAGGTTGAGGTGCCCCCGCCCCTGGCTCGCCCTCCTCGTCCTCCTCCTCCTCCTCTCGCTCCTAGCGCTGCCTCTTACGTTAGGCGAACGTCAATCGTCAGATTGCAGCATTCCGAGGGTGAAACAAAACATCTGTGAGATAAATTTCGACTTGTGTGCGCCTCCCGCTGCTCCTCATCCTCCTTCTCCCGCTGCTGCGCTGCTGCTGGTTGTCTTCCTCTTCCATCTGGGCTCCACCTCCTCATCACGAGATCTCCGCGTCCTCCTCCTTCTCCCCCGTCCCCTCCTCGTCCTCCCCCTCCTCCTCCTCCTCCTCCTCCTTCTCCTCCTCCTCCTCCTCCTCTTGCTCCTCCTCCTCCTTCACCTCCTCCTCCTCCTCTTCATCCTCCTCCTCATCCTCGTCCTCCTTCTCCTCCTCCTCCTCCTCCTCATCGTCGTCATCGTCATCGTCATCGTCATCGTCATCGTCATCATCATCATCATCATCATCATCATCATCATCATCATCATCATCATCATCATCATCATCATCATCATCGTCATCATCACCATCACTAGCATCAGCACCAGCTTCTGCATCATCATGATGATTGTCATCATCAACGCCATCATCATAATCAGCATCGACATCATCCCGACCACCACTACCAGTATCATCATCACCATCTTCACAAACATAATCATCATCATCATCATCATCATCATCATCATCGTCATCGTCATCGTCATCGGCATCGTCATCGTCATCGTCATCGTCATCATCAGCAGCATTAGCATCAGCATCAGCATCAGCATCAACATCAACATCAGCAGCAGCAGCAGAAGCATCAGCATCAGCATCAGCATCAGCATCAGCATCATCATCATCATCATCATCATCATCATCATCATCATCATCATCATCACCATCACCATCACCATCACCATCATCATCATCATCATCATCATCAGCATCATCATCAGCATCATCCTCGTCAGCAGCATCATCGCGTTCATCATCAGCAACAGCATCATCACTAGTAAAAGCAGCATCTCCCTTCTTGCCTTCCTGCTCCTCAAGCTCGCCCTCATCCTTACCACTCTCCCCGCCCTCCCGCTCCAGCTGCTCCTCTCCCTCTCGCCTCCTCCTCCTCCTCCTCCTCCTCCTCCTCCTCCTCCTCCTCCTCGCTCGCTCTACAGCGGAAAGGTGCTAGCACATTCAGCATGCATAGAGATGGAAGTGCCCTCGCCTCGGGAGGGGCGTCGGGCAGTGCCAAAACTGGGCACGGGGTCGTCACGGCCCATCAAGGAGGAGCTCGTCCTTCTCCACCGTACGGCAGCGGGCCCGCTTGCGGGCCTGAAAACCCAGGTCCCTGGCTTCCGCCTCGGAAAGGCCAAAAAGGGCCAAACCCCTCTGGAGGTCAATCCCTGGGGCCCTACTCCTCGTACGAAACACCGCCTCCTCCTCCTCTGCCTCCTCCTCCTCCTTTCTTTTCCGTGTAGGAAACTCCTCCCTGTCGCACCCCGAGGCCGGTCGAAAGGGCGGGCTGGGCGTTCCGCCTGGGATTTCATCAACATCTATGACACTGATGCTTCAGAATCGACAATCGTTCTCAAACTGTGGCTCTCGTCCTAGCGCCGCGCACGTTCGTTGCAAACAACTGCAAGAGTTTCACGGATTCAGGACGGGTGACTCTCAACAAGGGGCTCTCGTCTTCGCGCCGCGCACACTCGTCTGAAACAGTTGCAAGAGTTCCACGGACCGAGAGCGGGTGGTTTTCAAGCTGTAGCTCTCGCCTTAGAGCCGCGCACAGTCGTGTGACGTTGACTCGCGGTGCTCAAGTCCCAGGAATGGTGCCCGGGCACGATTCAGGACCGCCAAGACGTAACAGTCAGGTCAATTCGTAGGGGTTCGAATCCTGAGCATGGTGTTTGGGCACGCTTCAGGATGCCCACACGGTTGTCCCCAACGGGGCAATTTCCTCAGTGGAAACGAGCCCTTGAGGGAGGGGGCCTGTGAAGGGGGATCTTGGAGGGAGGATGTACTTCAACATCGTTAATGAGTCTTGGGTTTACACTGGTCCTCCTCCTCCTCCTCCTCCTCCTGCTCCTCCTCCTCCTCCTCCCCCCCGCCTCCTCCTCCTCCTCCTCCTCCCCCCCCCTCCTCCTCCTCCTCCTCCTCCTCCTCCTCCTTCCTCTTCCCTCCTCCTCTCCTCCTCCTCCTCCCCCCCTCCTCCTCCTCCCCCTCCCCTTCCTCCTCCTCCTCCCTCCTCCTCCTCCTCCTCCTCCTTCTTCTTCACCTCGTCCACCTCCTCGTCCTCCCCCTCCTCCTTCTCCTGCTCCTGCTCCACCTCCTCCTCCTCCTCCTCCTCGTCCTCCTCCCCCCCCTGATCCTTGCTCACCCAAGCCGTGATGCTCAACGCCTGCTCCTCCTCCTCCTCCTCCTCCTCCGTCTTCTCCTCCGTCTCCTCCTCTTCTTCCTCCTCATCATCCATAACTTTCCTTATACATAACTTCTCCCTGTCGCGCCCCAAGGTTAGCTTTTAGGGCGGGCCGGGCGCTTCGCCTGAGACTTTCTCACCACTTAGGACCCTGAAGCTTACACAATTGCAGCAGCTTCAAAAATGGAGGGCGGGTCGTTTTCAAAATGTGGCTCTCGCCGCGCACACTCGTTCTAAACAGTGGCAGGAACTTCACGGATTGAGGGCGAATTGTTTTCAACATGTGGCCCTCGCTTTAGCGCCGCGTGGATTCGTTCTAAAAAATTGCAGGAGCTTAGCTTCACGGATTGAGTGCGGGTGGTTTTCAAAATGTGGCTCTCGCTTTAGCGCCGCGTGCATTCATTCGAAACATTTGCAACATATTCACTGATTGAGGGCGAATTGTTTTCAACATGTGGCCCTCGCCTCAGCCCCGCGTGCATTCGTTTTCAAAATTTGCAAGAATGTCATAGATCCAGGGCGGTGTCTTTTCAACATGTTGTTCTCGCATCAGCGCCGCGCACGTTCGACTAACTTTGCTAGAGTTCCACGGATTCCCATGGTCAGCGTACCAGATATTGTGATTTGGATTGAGTCAGAATTATGAGCTACGTTGATTCGCGGTGTTGAAATCCTAAGAATGGCGTTTTGGCACGACTCCCGATCGTCAAGACGCAACAGTCAGGTTGATCCGTGGCGCTGGCATCCCGAGAACAATGCTTCAGCATGCTTCAGGGTCTCCAAACAGTGGACATGAACGAAGAGGGAGCTTGGTGAGAGGGCTGATTCCAACATTGTTGAAGAGTATTCGGATTGCAGTGGTCCTCCTCCTTCTCCTCCTCCTCCTCTTCCCCGTCCTCCTCCTCCTCCTCCTCCTCCTCCTCTTCCCCCCAAGTCTCCTTGCTCTGCCAAGTCGTGATGCCCAACGCCTGCTGCTCCTCCTCCTCCTCCTCCTCCTCCTCCTCCTCCTCCTCCTCCTCCTCTGCCTCGCCCTCATTCTTTGTCAGTCAAGCCGTGATGCCCAACGCCTCCTCCCCCTCCTCCTCCTCCTCCTCCTTCTCCTCCTCCTCCTCCTCCTCCTCTTCCTCCTCCTCTCCTTCCCCCTCCTCCTCCTCCTCCTCCCCCTCCTCCTCCCCCTCCTCCTTACTCAGCCAAACCGTGATGCACGACCTTTCCTCCTCCTCCTACTCCTCCTCCTCCTCCTCCTCCTCCTCCTCTCCCTCCGCCACTTCTCTTCCTGAATAATTCTCCCGTGTCGCACCCCAAAGCCAGTCCGAAGGGCTGGCCGGGCGTTTCGCAATGCACCGCCTTACCGTTTGTGAGCCTGAGGCTGAACACACTGCGGCCGTTTCATAGAATGGAGGGCGGGTGGTTTCCAAAATGCGTTCTTCACCTCAGCGCTGCGTGCATTCGTTGTAACCAGTCACAAGAACTTCACGGATTGAGGGTGGGTGGTCTTCAAACTGGGGCTCTCGCCCCAGCGCCGCGGACATTCGCTTCAACAACTTGATATATACTTTCGCGGATTGAATGCAAGTGGTTTTCAACATGTGGTTCTCGCCTAAGCGCCGCGTGCATTCGGTTTAAACATTTGCAGGAGCTTCGCGGATTGAGGGCGGATCGTTTTCAAAATGATGTTTTTTGTGTTTGTCTGAGCGCCGCTAACACTCGTTTTCAACATGTGCGAGCGATTCACGGGTTGAGGGCGGTTCTTCAAAATGTGGTTCTCGCCTGAGCGCCGCGCACATTCGTTTCAACAGCGTGCAAAGCTTTAACTGACTTTTTATGGTTAACGAAACAGAAGCGGCGTTTTCGAGCGACTTAGGAATATTAAGGCGCAGCAGTTTTGTTGATTCGCGGTGGTAAGTTCCCAGGAGAGGCGTTCTGACACGACTCGGGGTCGTCAAGCCGCAACAGTCTGGTTAACGCGTTGCGCTGACTCCGTGAGAACGGTGTTGGGCACGCGTTAGGATTTCCACGCGGATGTCCCCCAACGGGCCATTTCCCTCAGTGGAAATGAACCTTTGTAGAGGCCTATGAAGAGGAAGCTTGGAGGGAGGGTGTATTCCAACATCGTTGATGAATATTGGGTTTTCACTGGTCCTCCTCCTCCTCCTGCTCCTTCTTCTCATTTTTTTGTTCCTCTCTCTCTCTCTCTCTCTCTCTCTCTCAGCGGCACCTGCCGTCCCCACTCCACCGTGCTGGCGCGCACAGGAGCGCGCGCGCCGGCGGCCGCGCGGGGGCCAGCCCTTTCCGAAAGGGGGGGCGGGGGAGGAGAGAGGCCACCTTGCTACTACGTTCCCACCCGAGGCCCAAGAAGAGGAGGGGAAGCGGGACGAGCGGGCGGGCCATTCATGATGTACTTGATGTTGTAGACGTGGTATCTTGGCAATAACGTAGTACTTGTGCTGGCCTTGTCCATGGCGCTGTGCCGCCCCTTGATGTTATACCTACAGCATGTTGTACAAGTGACCTTACCTCTGCGGCTTCCGCCGACTTGTAGTCCTGCCGACCGTGGACTATTGGCCGTCCTC